TAAAGAAAACTTAAGACAAAACAAAGTCTTTCTACATACCAGAAAGGAAAAATGCTTAACTTTTAGAAACATGATTTGTTGGCATGAAAGGATGCGCGTTTGTATGCACACACTTGTGGAGAATGGAAACGGGAGGATTACTTAGGGCGTTGTAGAAGCAGCTTCTGTTAAAATAATATTGGTTGCTGGCTCTTCCACTGATTAAAAGATGGTGGGAAAACACGCAACCTGTCTTAGCTATTCCGACTAATTGTGATAGTGAAAGTAGTCAGTGACTTCAAAATTTGATGATGAGAAAGACGATACAGTGAATATTTTTAGGCTACAATATTTTATGCAAAATGTCCCCAAGCCTTAGAATAAAACGATTCTTTATAAATTTTAGATATGTGCTTATAGGCAGAGTATACTGTATAATATAGCCATTGTTTTGTATAGCAAAATCATATTCTAAGTATTTCCTAAAACATGTAATGGACATTTACTGCAAGTTTTGTACAGTATTAGCTTTTAGATTTCTCCTCCTATTCGTCTTCTTAGTCACAAGATTTTATTGTTGTGAATTTTATACCTTTATGGTTTTTAAGCAAGAAAAGATTGAAAATCTATTTGTGTTGCATATGTGTCTTAGCGACATTTTGTCAGTAAGCATGTATTTGATGGTGTTTTATTAAAAGGGTACATGTTGCACTAATATACATAAATCAAGAACTTAGGCCCTAATAAAGTGGTTTCTGGATTTGCCATGTCCAAGGAGTAGCATAGGGAAAAGTAGGTTTTGCCAGATTATCAGAAGGGACAAGATTTTACAAACATTAGATAATAGTTGAGGAAAATCGCCTGGGTTGAAATCAGACTGACGTTGGTTCAAATCCTGGCCATGCCACTAACTATGGTTGTGGCCAAGTTACTGAACCTTTCTACAACTCACTTTCTTCAATGTAGACTGGAAGGATAATGAACCTGGCTTTTTGTGGGAAAGAAATCAATGAAATAATGGATGTATATTGTCTGCTGCTTTGAATCTTTTTTCTGGAAGAAGGTGAAGTCGAATTAATAAATTAAAAAGTGTATATATTATGTCTGGCATGGATTGCCTGGTGAACAAATGCTATTATAATTATAGAGAAAGTTCAGTAAAACTTTGTTTTTTAAAGGATTACTAAAGTCTTTACCCAGTTTCTCCACCAGGGAAATTAGTCTATCACTCTACTGTCTATCAAGAAGTTGTGTCTATCAAGAAGTTGCGACTCCTCCATCACTTAACAGGGAAGTCGATTTTGTTGCTGATCTTATCTATTCAGTGAGGTAGGAGTCATAGAGAATTTAAGTGCAAGTTTTAATTTACCTAATGATTTTACTATTTCTTAGATTAATCCTTCCTCAGGCCTTCACATCCTAATTCTTGCTTTGAGGATTAAGACTCAATGATAGTGAAATCTGATGATTCTTCAAATTCAGAGTATATAAATTTTGAAATGATCAGAAATAGACTTAGTAATATATGTCTGATTGACATTTTCTAATTTAAAGGGAAAAAAATTGAAGCATCTAGTAGTCCAACAGGAGATAGCTAGAAACAGGTTTTTTCTCTATTGATTGTTTTAAGATGAATGTATATTATATATCTAAGGAGACTGTACTTAAAAATATTTTCCAAAAAAATTTTCATTATAGAACTTTTCAAGCAATGCAAAACTAAGATGTAGTATAATAAACCACCATGGACCCTTCACACATTGACTGTTACCAGCGCATTGCCAATCTTATTTCACCACTTCACCCCCTTGATTAACTTATAGCAAAGTCCTTACATTGCATCATTTCATCTGTCAATTTCAGTTTGTATCTCTGAAATACAAGAAAGCACTCCCCTTTTAAAAATACACACTATCATCATACTCCTAAAAAAAAGCAGCAGTACTACTCTAAGTAGACAGTTGTCATCCATGCTTTCTGTTTTGTCTAATAATGATTAATAGTTTAAAGCAGGGGTCAAACAAGATATGTGAATTGGTATTGTGATTTGTATTATGTGTCTTAAATCTCTTGCAATCTAAATTTCGAATTTCTTCTTCCAAATTTTTTTTTTTATTCCTTGCCTTTTTGTTTGTGCATGTGGGAAAATATCAAATTTTTATCCTGTATAGCAGTGGTTTTCAGACTTTTTGGTCTCAAGTCTCCTTTACACTCATAAAAATAATTGAAAACCTCAAAGAGCTATTATTTATATAAGTTGTATCAGTATTTACTGCATTAGAAATTAAAATAGATAAACTATTTAAAAACAATAGTAAACCCACTACACAAGTATATGTAAGATTAATTTTTATGAAACGTAGTTTCTAAAATTACAAAAATAGAGAAGCGGCATTGTTTTATATTTTTGTAAACCGCTTTAATTTTTGTTTAATAGAAGATAGCTGGATTCTCATATTTGCTTCTGCATTCAGTCTGTTGCAATATGTTGTTTTGGTTGAAATATTTCAAGAAAACCTGCTTCACACAAGTACGGGGTTAGAAGAGGAGGGAGTATTTTGAGTCTTTTCAATTAGTGGCGGACATTCTTCTTTGATACTATCCCAAAACTTAACAAGTAGTCGTTTCTTAAAGGTTAGTTGCAATATGCAATTTGAAACCCTATCAATCAGCTTTGCACACTCTGTTACTTTAAAATCTATTGGTCTGTCTTGCACTTTGAATGGATCCTTTACCCATGCATAATTTTGTAACATCAAGCATTTGGAAAATACTGCTTTGCTGAGTTGTGCAGATCATCCAAATGTTGACATATTTCATTATGAAATATTTTAAAAACTGTATTAATGAATATTACCACCCATCTCCTTAGAAAAGTCTTTATCTATTGGGAAGCTGTCAAGTTCATGGTGGTAGATACAAGTTTTCCAAAATTATGATTTTTCTCATGAATACTCAAATTGTATCATTAGCAACAAATGCTGTCAGTGTTTTCATTGATGTGACAGGCTCACTTCATTTATTTTTGACAAAATATTTGCCAGATATGCAAACCTGAATGGATGTAGTTTGTCAAATAAAAATGGTTTTCCATGACAAAAACAGCTTGTTCAGCTTGTATCTCAAACAGTTCACAACTGCTTTTCCTCAAGACAACCATGGTACGTACTTCCTGTTTCAGCGCACAGACTGTTAAAAAGGTGTACATATATATTCAGATAGCAAGACAATATAACTTACTACTTTATTTCGTCAAGGGTGGGCTTTATTGAAGCTGAGATTGTTTACTGCTGCAGTTCAGTGCCGCTGCTCCAGAGGTTTTACCCACCATTGCTTTTGCACTGAATCCAAATGGCAACATAGCAAAGACAGCAAATAATGTATAGTATTTTTATGAAAGTAATTTTGACTTCTTGGACATTTTGAAAGAGTCTCAGGGCCCCCCAGGGCCCATGGACCACACTTTGAGAAATATTTCAAAAGAGTGTCTGACACGGAATTTTGCTTCTTATGTCTTTATGGTGTGCTTTAACATGTCCCTTTGTTTCTGGTATTTTCTGTAAACAGACTTGATTCCAATTAAGTTTGATTTAGTTTTTTCCTGGCAAGACTACTTTATAGATGGTATTGTGTTTGTATTCTTAGCAGCTATTGATGGTTGTTGCCTAGAGCCATTAATTTATTAAGGGTTGCAAATGGTCATGCTTCAGTTCTATCATTCCTTTATTTATTAGCAGGGATTCTTTCTGAAGGGAAGCTTCTCACCAACAGTTTGGTTACTCTGAGATTATGAACTTGTGGATTTAAACTTACTTGACGTGTTTCAGTTCATTGCAACTAGAATCCTTACTTTGGGCCTGCTGGAGCTTTTTCCGTTGGCTCCTGAGTCCTTCTGATAGGAGGGCTGTTGTCCTTAATAGCTTCGTTGCTTTTCTGTTTGAGATGTTCCAGGCTTGCACATTCCCTGGCCCTCAACAGAAATCACCTCCTCCTCTGGGGAGACCTTACAGAGATGGTATTTAGAGACCACAGTTTGAGCATTAGACTGATCATTACTGTTGATTGGTGGTTGTTTCTAGACTTTTTTGGTGGACAAAGCTAGAAAATCTGCATATTTTTTAAAGATACATTGTATCAAGAATTCATACTGATACTTCTATTCAAATTTAGGACTTATTGACCTTTTGGGGTTTCTCAGTGACACCAACATAATAACTTATTTGTTTTATCTTATACTACACAGATCACAGTCTCAGAATAACAATATCAATTCCACCACTAACAACACAATTATGAAAAAGTTTGTTTTGCAACTTTAAAAAAAATGAAAATTAAGCATTACTACAGTTTAGCTAGCTGAATTGGCTATTTTAACATAGCCTTATTATTGGTGTTTGCTATACACTTTGAGACTGTTTTCCTATTTTCCAGGACATCAAATTGGCAGATATTTCAACTGAAATAAATTAATTTTTTGAAAGAATCAATCACACTGTGCATTCGTTGTATTGATACCATGAACTTCGTTGACTAATTTAGTGTAGGTGACAGTAATGGGCTAGAAGTTTCTTGCTCTGTTTTATTATCTAAATGGTTCCTTTTTTTGTTTATTAACATTTTGTATTATTTTTTTATCCATACCTACTCTTTTTTCAGTGTCTTAAAACAGAAATAACTATTTGGAGGTCAAAAAATTCTGTTCATATGACATTGTGATTTTTTGTTTTAAGTGAATATGCTATGAAACAATGAATTTCTTTTCTTCTTAAGAACAGAAATGTTTACTGTGACACTTTTTAACTTAGAAATGTTATTAATATTTTATTCTTCTATAATATATTATGGACTGCATTAGAAAGAAATGTTAATGATATTTCTGAAGCAGTTATTTCTTGATCTGTGGATATAGGATATTGTAATCAAGAAAATTAAATAATTAAAGGAAGCTGATGTAATGACCACTAAAATAAAAACTGATTTGTATGTGAAATATTTAGTCATATGTCTTTTGCCCCTTATAGGTTAAAAAAATAAATCATGACTGAATCTGCCTCTAGCACAAGTGGTCAAGAATTTGATGTATTCAGTGTTATGGACTGGAAAGACGGAGTAGGTACGTTGCCAGGAAGTGATTTAAAGGTAAGCTGCCTTTATTACATACAATTATATGTGTGTGTGTGTTAAAATAAATCTGAATACATATGTAACGTAAAAATTAAAAGCATTAAGCATAATGCTGTAGGTTTTATATGATGCTTAGACCTCTATAATAAACTCTCAAGACAATTTGAAATGCTGATGGATTGGCAGAAGCCTTTGTCACTTGGGGGAGGGGAGCAAGGAATGTTTCAGCAGCAGGTGCTCATTTTGCGGAAAGTGAGTTACAGCTTCTTGAAGGTTCATCTCAGTTTTGACTCTGTCATGAAGGCCAATAAATGTGGCAGTGATAGGCTTAGAAGACCTAGCTTCAAAGTATTTTGTATGAATGGGCTTGTCATTTTAATCACCACACTCCCTGTGCCCTAGTTTTCTCATTTAAAAACTGGATGTTAAAATATTGAATAAACAGGATTATTCACCTCCTTTAAATTATTTATACTGTAAATATGGATTTTTATGTAATCACCTGTTCAAAAGCTGGTTCTCCCTGTAAACCAGACTGCTTTTGTATAAATAAGAACTGTCTTCAGAGAGCCATCCTTCCATCTGCTGCTTTACTAGGTTCTCACCTTGCTGCTTCTTCCTAGGCCCCTAAACCCACTCAAGGACCACATCTGCTGCCCCTTGAAACATGGTTATGCAAGCACCCGTCTGGAAAGCCAACCTCCCTCAGCTTTCATTTCAAATGTGCTTTTGTTCTGATCCTGTCTCTGGAGAACTTTGAACCTGTCTGTGGCCCTTTAGACTTTGTGCTCGTACTTGGTCACTCAGGAGTTTGAACTTCTGATCTCCCTAACAGGCTGTCAGTTTGCTTGCTTTCTAACGCTTGGTGTTCTGATCTGTCTTGAGTAGAAATTGCTGGAACCTAAACTCTTGGAATCCAAACCCTTTTAGTGGCTTCTTGACAAGTATCTCAGCCAAGCCTGCCTTAGTACATCCTCAGGGGTGAGATTTGGACAATCTATTATTGGAAAAATACTTAGATTTTAGTTGGGTAAGGTTTGATTAAGTGCAACGTGCCAATATACCTATCTGAGTTTAGCTTAACAAAAGTATTGCAGTGAGGTTTAGTGAAATCGGGAGAGGAGATTTGATTTTTTAGTTTTAGTCTGTGTGACCTTGAACAAGTCAGTGGGTCTCTGGACCAATTTTCTCTTTGGTAGAGTAAGAAATAAATGAATACTGAGGATTTTACCTGTTCTAACATTCTCCAAGTGTTAGTCTGGATTAGATATGTTGGAAATAAGAGTACTGGAACTTTTTTTTTTTTTTTAAGAATTTATTGGGGCATTGGGGAAGGTGAACAGACAAATTGCTGTCCTTTTATTCTTCAGTCTAGCTGTGGAGGACGTCACTTGACTGGCCCATGTTGGTATTATCATTGCACTCTTCCCTGGTGAGGCCATTGGACGGCTGCTCACGGCGGCTCGTGAAAGCTCATGCATGCCCGCTCCCAGCCAGCCCCACTGCAGCCTATGCTGTCGCCGGCAACTCACAGCAGCCAGCTCCAGGTCGAGCTGTTGTTCACCATCTTAACTGTAGAGGGCGCAGCATCACTAGCCCTCATGTGGGATCCGAACCTGGGCCCTGCTGATCAGAGCTGGCGTCTCAAGCCAACTCCTAACCAGTGCACCACTCGGCTGGCCCCAAGTACTGGAATTTTTGAGAAAGAAGGAACTGTTTCTCAGACTCTGATAATGTCATCCATGTATTAGGTACATGAGCTTTGTCAAGTTATTTAAATTCCCTAAGTTTCAGAATCTGTACAGTGGAGATACAGGATCTATGTCATAAAGTGGTTATGAGATTTTAAAACAATTATATATATAAAACACTAAATAAATTGTATCTATTCTGGCTTTGTGATACAGTATGTAAACTGCCCTCCCCCCTTTTTTTTTTATTGCTACAGTCCCTTATTTTTTCTGTACATTTTTATCCCTTTTCTCAAACAGTTGTTTTTTTTGTTTGTTTGTTTTTTTGGGGGGGGGGATGGTTGTCATTTGTAACTTTTGTATAGTTAGATTTTGACAATAGAGTGAAGTTTCCATCCCTAAGAAATTTAGCTTGCCTGAAGGTATTTTAAGCAATGGATTTTAGGAAATAACCTATTACTTTTATTAAGGTAATCAGGTAATTGAGCCACTTAGTATTATAATCTGGGTTATTTGATTTGATTTTTAGGCTCATCTAATTACCTGGGCAATTGCCATGTATCCAATTCACTTCCTGACCTGTAGATAGTTGGATACCCCACTTAAAAAAATAATTTAAAAAGTTGGTTTCTACTTTATAACCCTTTCTAGCCAAAGAGATTCAGAGACTAGCCAGTTGATTATATTGCTTAGGATTTTTGTTTGTTTGTTTGTTTTTGTTTTTTTGTGGTATTTTTTTTAGCTGAGCTAACCTGCCACCTGTTGGCAGCTCAGTGGCAGCTCAGCTCAGACCGGGAATCGAACTGGGGACTCTGTTACTCAGAGCTTGCACTTTTCAGTGAGCTCTTAACCAACTGAGCTACTCAGCCAGCCCTAGGACTTCTAATTCACTTGCTCTTTCTATTAAAATTCAAATTGCTTAAGAGATCTGATTGAGAAATTAATTTTTCACAAAATTCAGATATTAGAAAGAAGTTTGAATAAATCATGACATTTACTTTCACATCATGTTTTGCCTGCTTTGTACTATCAAAGCTTTTGTTGTTGAATGGGTATAGGCATGTGAATTTCCTAATAAACAGTGTGCTAGCCTAAGACAACCAGCTGAAGTTAATTCAGTTAATACAGTCAGCTTATATACAGAAGTCAGTTTCTAATCATGAGAACAGATTTTTATATGCTGCAGTATATTGCTGTTTTGAAAGAGCCATTAGAACAGGCAGACAGTAAGTGATAGTCCAAAGGTGTATGGTATGGCTCCCGGTCCTTAAAGCAGTTTTTCTACCTGAACTTCTAATGATGTCTGAAATTTATCCACAGAGACTTACTTACTCCTCTGGGTCATAAGGATTTAATCTTTCGGAGTCCCTGAGTAAAATGCGCATGCACTCCTAAGAGCGATAGCATCTTATCTAGTAAAAATAGTTGCCGCTTAACCAGAGAGAAAGACCCTTTAGCAGCAATGCAGAAACCCAACTATAAATTCCCGGCACTCTTGGTGCACTTTTCCTGGTGTTGATTAATGTTCAAACAGGTTAGTTACCAAATGTCTTTGCCCTTAAAACAGATTGGTAAGTAGAACTCAAATTTCATCTTTGAAAGTAATAAAACAAAAAAAGTAACTTCAGCAGTATCTTTTAATCTATTAAAGACAGGCAAAAATAGGCAAAAGATTCTTTGCCTTTACAAGCAAAAATAAGAAGATGATTGAATCAAAGGTAATTCACGCCAAGTCAAACAAAGAAAACCTTTGCTACCATTAATATATTTTAGTGAAATTGTGTTCTGATTGGCCTGGATGTATCCACTTACAGAAAATGTTACAATGTCAGCTGATATATTTGAGTTGGTTAAAAATCCATTTGTAAAGTTTATTATTTTGATAGTCTTGGTTGTAGAATGGAGTCATTTGATACATTTCATACTGTGTTTTAGATGTCTAAGTTAAAAGAACTAAGAACCTCAAAAAAAGAAATTAAAATGATTATGTCAAGTTTTCATGGTTCTAAAACCATTCATGAAAGCATTTCCAATTTCAGAACCCAAATGTTTTACTGGGGGAAAAAAATGTTAGGAAATGTCAGTCTTTTTGGAATTCCATCTGTGGGACTCCAGTACCTAACAACCTGTGTTATCCAACATTTTCTACAAAATAATAAAATATTGTGGAAGACATAGTAAATCCAAATTGAGAAGCCAAAAAAAAAAAATTGATCCCTATATCTTTTTGCATGTGATGTGATACTTTGAAAGCACTTTGAGGTTAATTTTCAAGATAAAGTAACTTTGGTTAGAGTAGATGTTCTTTACATTTCAGGGTTATAGGATGCCTTTGCGAATATCGTCAACCTTATGAGCCCTATCTCCATTAAAATAAAACACACACACACACACACACACACACACACACACACACGTATATGTCCATACCATAATTTTGCATATATGTCATGGGATTCATAGACCCCCTAAAGTCCATCCCTGGCTTACAGGAGTTAACTGTGTCCCCAAGTGCCATTGGTCTTTACTTTGTTCTTGAACTATAGTCAGTGACTGGCACTAAATATTAGGAGAAGGAAAACGATAACTGGGATTAAATGTTGTATTGTGGGAACATTGCCTTTTAGCTCTGAAAGTATTTGAGCCTCAAGTTTCCAGGCGTCATAGGTATGAATTTCTATTTGAAGATTCGCCTTAGTGATGTTCTCTTTCTCAGTGTTTGAGCTGCAGGGTGGTTTGTAATTTAGCAGCATTTTGGAAACTACGCTCCAGGAGAATTCCAGTGTAATGTAAATGTTTGGTGCTATTTCTCACATTTTGTAATTGTCAGATAGCTATAAATTAACATCAACATAGAATAAAAATTTCTTACCTGGATTGAATTTTAACGTTCACGCCTATTGTTTTTTTAAATTTTCATTCAGAATTTATTTTCTGTCATGGTCTTTCATATCATTAATTAATAATCATTATAGCTTGTTTTTTCTACTCTTGCCCAGTAGATGGTACTGTCAGCTTTATTTTGAAATATTCTGTTTTCAGAGTTTATCATTTTAAAATTAATTTCTTTTCCAAAAAGTGAAGTTATTTTTACGTCTTTTCTTACCAATTAACCCTTTGTCATCTTCTAGACTGGATTTTTAGGTTAACCCTAGGTAGGTACATTTACCTGGGAACTTGTACCTTGAATATGTAGTGGGGAGAAAACATTTTCGCTTCCCTTAACTATTTTAACTTGTTCTGCCTAGAAAGCATTTAATGATTGTGGACTAGGTGCAAAAATTATTTAATGTGCTGTTTTCACCTGATGGAAAGAATAATTATTAGTCTTTTTTGCTTGTAGATTTTTCTGACTTGTAGTCCAAATCTAGTTTGGTAAAACAAATACTTCTATTGGCATGTTGACTGAATCAGTTTTTTAGATTTGGAAATGGAAGGCCTTATTTTAATACTATATTTTTCCATGCTCATATATATGTCTGTGAAAGATCTGAAAACTTTAAGCAGAGAGTTTTATTATCCTTTTGAATTTTGAGCTTTCTAACTCTTCATCACCTGTTAAAATTCATGGATTCGTAATGTCATTCTGTTTTATGGAAAAACAGAGGGAATACAGAAAACTTTGAACTTCATGAGTATAAGAATAAGCCTTGCTGTTTCAAAGAGGATGGGCCCTGCACATAGGTTTGCTGAAGCCTTCAACACATACACACACACTGTATGACCAGGCAGTTACAGAAACATATTTTGTTTGCAGCTTGCCATTAAATGAGTTGAAATTTCAATGTTTGGAGTCAAAAGTGTCCATGAAATCAAAATGCCCTTACTTTTTAAAAAATTTTTATAATTATTATTTTTATTATTAGTTTTAGGTGTACAGAACAATGCACCCCTCACAAAGTAACACTTTTTAGTGATGAAATTGTCCTGGAGCTAGTAGACATGTTCAGAGTTCATCGATATTGCCAGGTGGTTTGGATGACTAAAGGTGAATGTAATGGAGAATTCTAAAGAGCAGTGAAAGGAAGAGGGAGTGCAGGGCTGGGGGTCACGAGACCTATGCTTCCGCCATCCTTGCTCATATTTTGGAATATAACGCTATGGATGCCTGTTACAATGTTTAGAATAAAGGTATTTCTTCTATCTGAACTAGGTGAACTTGGGTGAGACAGGTTGCTTCCTGGGAAAACAGTAACTTCCCTTTCACTAATGTCGATGCTCAAATAAGCTGTAATATAAAAAAAAAAACTTAGCAAAAAAATGGTGTTTGAAATTACAGGCCATATAAGTGAGCCGTCAACTCTACAGGATAGTGCGGGGTTGGTTGTTTATATCCTTAAAAAGTGCCTTGCTGCTTTGTTTTAGTCCCCTTCCCCAAATTCCAAAATTACCGAAATACAAAGGGCTTCATATTGGTAGAAGGCTTGTCTAGATATAATTGTTCAAATTAACTTTTAAAACATAATTAATTTTCTAAAAGACTGTGTATCAGCCATTAAATAATTACTGCTTTGAACACTTTTGTAAATTTTGCCTCTTTCTACTATGTTTTCGCTAGTTTCGAGTAAATGAATTTGGAGCCCTGGAAGTTATAACAGATGAGAGTGAGATGGAAAACGTTAAAAAAGCAACAGCTACCACAACTTGGATGGTACCAACTGCTCAAGAAGGTAAGAACGGGTCGTCCGCTTTGCCATTTCTTTCTTTTGAAAGTTTTAAAATAAGAATGTCTAAGGTTTTATAAATAGGCTGGACCTTTGAAAATCCTGGGTGATCTTCATGTCACATATTCTTAGATAAATTTCTATAACGAAACTGATATGGAAGGGGCTTTTAATTTTAAAATAACCATTAACTGTCTTCTTTCCTAATGCCAGATCTGTAATAGCAGCAGGTTAATTGGAAATTATCAAGTAAATCCATGTAATAGCCTACCCAGGTGATTTAGCCAAAAGCCTGCCACTTTTTTCTCATCTACTCCGATGGTTGTAACTAACACCTATATGCTGATGACTCCTAAATCTATATCTCCAGCCCCGACCTCTCCCCCGAGCTCCAGGCCCGTATTTCCACCTGCCTACTGGACATCTCCACCTGGATGTCCCACAGGTACCTCAAACTCCACATGTCTAAAATGCGGTTCATTTTCTCTTTCTTCCTCCCCTCCCCCTAAACCTGCTCTTTCTTCTGTAACTCATGTTTCAGTTGACGGTAGCGCCATCTGCCCAGTGGACAAGCAGGAAACCTAGGAGTCACCCCCGTTTGTCCTCCNTAGGGAAAAAAACCTCACCCACCTTAAATACCCTCCATTTGGGAAATTATTTTAACCGGTTATTTTGAGCATCAGTCTAATGACTGAAAGATTCTCTGATCAAATTGAACATAAGTCAGGTCAAATTAGAGAATTTAGGAGAAGTGTGTGTGTATGTGTGTTTAGGTAGCTAATAGAGATAATGAGCCATCTTAATATTTTAAACTATCTTAATTGAGAGGATAGCTTAGTTGCTGAAATGTAAATACTGCATTGTCAGTAGGCATTCTCTGTAAAGACAAGGGAGGAAGGCTAGGTAGGTGGAAAGCTCAGCGGCCTGTTGTGGCCGCTCCAGGTTTCCTAACCCATATCTGGTTCTCGGGTGAAGAATTCAGTCAGGGTCGATTAGCTACCTTGAACCATCTTCCTAAATTCTGTGCTTTGCTAACATACAACTTAATCTTGGGCTATGTGTTTGGTATCTAAGAGGCAATTAATTTTTGTAGTTCTAGGTCCCTCTACCGCAGAATACTCAAATTGATGGTCAGAACCCTAATAAATAATTTCAGGACTTAAATGTGTAGTAAAGGCGTCT